AAAACCAGCTTACACGTTAGAGAAAAGGGTTCAGTTCAGGTTGTGTCCTTCCAGACCCTTGCTCTCAGCATACACAGCGAGGAACATAGGCTCATAGCATAGCGGTAGGTCGTAGTATACCTTGAAGACACAGAGACAGAAGCCAAACTTGCGGACTCTTGACTGAATTTGCCCCGGTGATGTCACTTCTGCAAAATGCAAAGCCTGCGTCATGGCATGGAAGCTGGTGGAGCAGGTGCTGACATTGACATTGGGCAATTTCTTTCTTGCCTTCTCTTTCCCTCAGACTCTCCCATTTGTTTTGATTGGAAAGGAGCTGAGGCTGCAGTGGAGAAAGAATTGAAGTCATCCCTGCTAGCTTGTATATCTTGCTTCCAACAAGCTGTGCTGGCTTTCCTCACCCAGAGGAAAACTGAAAGGCACGGCTTTGTTTCTGCTGGTGGTATGAAATCGGGTGTCTCTTCCCATGTGCGTTCCTGTTTGATTTCCTCATGGTATGTTTGCTTCCCTCAAGTCCTCCCAAGTCCTGTGGACCAAGTGAGTTAAACCATATGGTTGTCTTGGCTGATTTTTAAAACATTGTAAGGAAACATTTTATAGGAAGCATGGATCTGGTTTTTCCCAAGGTTTCTGAAACACCTCTTCTCAGTTTGCTGCTCTTCCCGGCCTGAAGATAGGATTGAGGTGCTCCTGAGAATTGTCCACGGAGCTGCTGGGGCAAAGTGAACTGAGAAAGCCAGTCAGGCAGCCAGCTGGGGCTCTGCAGATAAAATGCATGCAGGTCATGTCCCTTTATGAAACAATCAGACCCAAATCTATTATCATCCAGTCCATTCTGACTCCTATATTATTGTTGTGTACCGTAGAGTCGGAACCCACCCATAGCTGATCCTCTGGTGGATTTTCAGAGACAGTTAATTGCACAGGAAGAGATTGTCCATCCTTTTCCTGCAGAGCAGCTAGTGGCCTTGAACCCTGTGCCTTCGGGATTGCAGTGCAGCTTCTTGCCAGTAAGCCACAGCCCTATAAAACAGAGTAGAATGAGTATGACTTGAATGAGTTGGACTTGAATTCAAAGACCTCTGAGCTTGAGTTCTGGGTCACCTCTACTGCTCATTTGCAGAGACAGAAGTACAAGATGTTGCTTCTAAGAAACAGCCACTGCTTGCCTTACCTGCCTACTTACCTCTTACAGTTGGATGACTTCAAGAGGAGAGTGTTTGAAAACAATGTCTTTACATGCTAGTTGACAGCACATCAAAGGTGGTGATGACATTGAGTAGGAAATCCTGGAAGGAAGGGGCTGTAGTAGTGTGCTTCCTGGGACATGCTCAGATATCGAAGGAAAAAGCTTGTGTTTTTGAAGTTGCTGTTTTCTTAAAGCTCAACTGTTAACTTCTTCCCTGTTTGATGCAAGCATATTTTTTCCTCTTTCCCCCAAGGGTTGCTTTTAGAATACAAAGACATTGGGATTAATGATTTTACCTTGTGGTTTTAGTGGGTTTTTTTAGTTGTAGGTTTGATAGATTGTGGTGAATCTAAGTCTCCCCTTTGTGAGGTCCAGAATGGTCTGGTTGTGAGTAGTAGTTGTTATATATCATCAAGTTGGAACTAACTCCTAGCTGACTCCAGCTGACTCCCTGGGCTTTCAAGGACAGGAAGTTGTTCAGGAGAAGATTGCCTTTCTTTCTCCCATGAGGCAGCTGGTGGACCAGAACTGCCGGCCCTTGGGTTGTCAGCACCGCTCCTTACTATCTGACCACCAGAGTTTCTCCAGTGGTTGTGAGTAGAGCCTCTTCCAAATGAAAACACTTGGGAAAACACTTCAGCTTCATTTCTCCCCTGAGGATTGAGTTTTACATCTTACTGGCCAAGGGAACAATATTTTAAGGAGTGCTTTGGACAAGCACACCTGTCATCATAGCAAAGGGTGAAGGTTAGGGTTATGTTTGAGGTTTTTATAAAATGTCCTATGCCATGGAGTGCTAGGAGAACAAACAGGTTCATCCTAAAGAGGGTAAGACCAGGCTGCTCCTTGGAGGTAAGAATTCTGAAGCTCTGTCTGACATACTTTGGGCATGTTGCATGGTGGGACCAGTACCTGGAGAGGGACATCATGTTTGGGAGGGTGGAGGGACAGCACAAGAGGGAGGAAGACCCTCGATGAGATGGATTGATTCAGTACCTGGGGTGATGGGGGTAGGTATGTCAGAGACAATAAGATTGGCACAGGATAGAGCAGAGTTTAAGGTTGTTGTACATAGGATCACTATGAGTCACAGGCAACTCAGTGGCACACAACAACAACGCCAGCTTATTTTTTCAAAATTTCCTTTTATTGTTGAGAATACACACAGCAAAACACACACCAGTTCACTGCTTTCTCCATGTGCACTGACAGTTGTGACTCAGCCTTGACACTGACTGCATTCTGTGCACTTGCTTCCCTGATCTCTGCTCTGAATATCTTGAAGGCCTCACCTTTGATCTAGTGCTTAATTTCTCCTCCTCTTTTTCCTACAGTAAGGAGGCTCTGGTTGTGCGTCCCCAAGGAGCTGCACTGCTAACCCAAAGGCTATACCTCTCTGGGAGTTCAAATCCACCATCCACCATCGGCCCTGCAGAAGAAAGAAAGGCAATTCACAGACTCTGAAAATCCACTGGAGCATCAGCTACGAGTCACTTCCTTCTCAACAGCAGTGAGTTTGAGGGATTTTTGTTTTGTTTCTACCGTGAGTTCTCTAAAATATCATCTACTTCCCCTTCCTCACCTCCGGGTTACTTCTCCACCCAGATTATGATCCTTCCTACCCCCACTGTTAAGACTGTGTTTGCTCAGATCACCAACCCCAAACCGATTCACAGCAGCCCTGCAGGACAGAGTAGAATCCCCCATGGGATTTACAAAGCAGGAAGTCTTTACAAAGCAGATTGCATTTCTTTACCTTGAGGAGTGATTGGTGGGTTACAAGTGCTGGCCTTTCTGTTAGTGGTTCAGCGCCTTCACCACTGCACTGCCAGGACTCCTCTCGGAGGCCCAGAAGCTGGCATTTCCCCAAGGCTCATGGGTATTTTCCAGTCCTTATCTCACCAGCTTCTCAGTAGCATCCTCGGTGCTGTGATGTGTCCCCTTTGTGCCCTGGAAGCTCCCAGGGCAGTTATTCTTCCTGGTTCTCATCTCTCTTTCTGTCTCTCTCCATGTTACGTGTGTTGCTATTTTTTTCTGTCTACCTTTCAGATATTGGCAATTTTCATGATTCTTTGAATTAGTTCTCCTTCCATTCTCAAACGGTTCTATCACTATAAGCACAGGATTTCCAAGTTTGCATTATTAGCACAGGCTTCACCCTTGAGTTTCAGATCAAATCCTGTGTCTGGATGTGCCACAGGCATGTCACTAAAAAAGTCCCAAACCAGACTCACCATCTTCATCTCTGGTGATGAGGATGGCACTCGATTACCTAAGCTCGAGCCCCCGGCCATGCCCTGGCCCCTTTTTATCCCTCTCCCACAAATGTTGTATCTCATCAGATCCAAGTGGTTCTTACTCTTAATTTCTTGGAATCCGTTTCTCGTTCCCTTCCTCATTCCCACCTTTCCTGGATTGCTTCCACAGCCTTAGGTCTTACGTCTGCCCAGCCTTAGTCATCATGTCATTCTCCTCAGAGCTTTCCATTGGCTTCCCAATTCTGCATCATTCCCAACTCATCATATGAACCCTACTGGATCTCGTCTGACCAGCCTCTTTTCTTTTCTCTCTGCTCCTCAACATTAACCCCAGGCTTGTTACAGTTACGATGACTCCCCCACAGGCCTCACTGCTCTTTCTCCCTCTGACTGACATTCTCTTCCTCCTGCTTTTCACCTGCCAGCACCTTCATGTCCTTTCGGCAGCAGCTCCAACAACTGCTCTCCTAGAAGCCTTCCCTGACCCTCTGCTTGAATTCAGTTCTGATTCACAGGAGTGTCACGCTTTGAAGAGCAGATTTGTACTCTGTACGATTTTTAGGGCTGCAGCCTTGCAGAAGCAGGTCACCAGGCCTCTCTCTCAAGGCTCCCTTAGGTGAATTTGAACCGCCACCCCTTTTAGTTAGTAGTGCAGTGCTGAACCATTACACCATCCAGCAAGTCACACAGGTTGGGTCAATGTCTCCCTGCTTATCTTGTGCAGCATTAGAAACATTTATCATTGTCAGTATTGTTTCTCAGGTGTACGCATACATTACACGCCCACAGCTTCTACATTGAGCGCATTTACTGGAGGGCAATTGACTGTGCAAATTCCTATCACTGCACTCACCAGGTAGTTTTGTAATAATTTACATTATTATTCCTCTCTTCCTGTCGGACTGTGAACTCCTGTTTAGGAAGGAGGACTTTGGAGACATCTCATTTGGATCCCTGGGTCCTGTGGTACATGGTTAGTGTCTGTGGACTGCTAGCTAACTAAAAGGTCAGCACTTTGAACCCACTAGCTGATCCATGGGAGAAAGAAGTGACTGCTTCTGTTGTTATTTGCCATTGAGTCGGAACTACCTCAGAGCTGGTTTTTCAGAGGCTGTAAATCATATAGGAAATTGCCTGTCTTTCTCCCAAGAAGCAGCTAATGGATTCAAACCACCTAAATTTATATTGTTGTTTTGGGTTTTTTCCCCCTTTTGTTCTATACCATTGAATCAGAGATTACCCCTCCTTCTCCAGCAGAGCATCTGGTGGATTTGAACCACGTGCCTTTGGAGTTGCCACACAGCTTCTTGCCACTAGGCCACCAGAGCTCCCTGTGAATTTACGTTGACAGCTCAACTAGCAGCTTAACTGACTACTTGGCCACCAGAGTTCCTTCCTTGGAATTCCTTTGAGGGAGTTCTGACATATGTCCTTAGGGTTGCTGTGAGTCACAGTTAATTCAGCAGCAATGGGCTTTTTTGGATAATAACTTTTACATCTTCTCCTCCTAGACACCATGCCACAAGAAGAGTAGGTCTTTTCCCTGGCTCACGATGGCAGACTCTGGAAAGACAACCTTCAGCTCTGAGGAGGAAGAAGCTCACTACTGGAAAGACCTGGCCATGACCTACAAGCAGAGGTCAGTTCTCCAGAATCCACCCTGCCTTTTCTTCCTGTAATGACAGCAGCAGCCAGGTAAACCAGGCAGTGTGCAGGGCCTGTTGTTGTTGTTATGCCATTGAGTCAGAACAGACCCATAGCTGATCTTCCAGTGGGTTTTCAGAGGCAGTTAATATCATGAGAGGAGATGGCACATCCTTCCCCCATAGAGCAGCTGGTGGATTCAAACCACATGCCTTCAGGATTGCAGCAGTTTCTTATCATTAGGCCACTGGGCCTTAGCATACTTTATCAGTTAACCTCACAGTTTCCCATGGCAAAACTATTTGACCTCATTTTACAGAGGAGCAAATTTGTCCAAGGTAACAAAGCTAGTAAGTGAGAGAATTTGAATTTGAATTCTAAAACCTGCACCTTTAACCATGTTGTTGGGCTGTCTCCCAACTTCTATTCTGGAAGGGTTTTTCAGTTTGCAAATTCCATATCTAGTTATTCCTTAGTGTATGGTGAAAGAACTTTTCCCTGTACGAGATAAGATATTTTGTTTGGTGTATAGAGACCAATGGTATTTTCAGTTGTTTCATATGCATGTTGGGCAAATGAATAAGGAAGACTGAAGCAGAATTGATGACTTTGTATTGTGGTGTTGGGGAAGAGTATTGGAATATCCCGTGGACTGCTGAAAGAACAAACAAATCTGTGTTGAAAAAAGTGCAGCCAGGGTGCTCCTGAGAGACAAAGATGGTGAAACCTCATCTTGTAAACTTGGGCCATGTTGACAGGAAGGGCCAGTCCTTGGAAATGGACATCACACTTGGAAAGGTGGAGGTTCAGATGGATTGATGCAGTGACTACAGCGATGGGCTTAAGCATAGCAGGGCCTGTGAAGATGGTGCTGGCTCAGACAGGATTTCTCTCTGCTGTAGCTAGGGCTGCTGTGAGCCAGAGGTGACACTACAGCACCAATGGCTGTAGCAATATGTTTACCTGTTCTTGACATGTGATATATAATGTCATACAGTATCTGTCCTCACGGTCCTGTAGTATCTGCTTTTGTGATTGACTTATTTCACCCAGTGTAATGTGTGTGTGTGTGTACATGTATTTGTAGATATAAATATACAGAAACATATCAGCTCCGGTGGTCCGGTGGGAAGAAGTCAGTGCTGCTAATCCAAAGGCATTTGATTTGAATCCACCACCTGCTCTGTGGGAGAAGGATGCGCAGTCTTTTGCCATGCGATGTATATCCACTGAACGTCTGCTGCATGGTCAGCAGTGAGTCGCTTTTGACTCAATGGAATATATATCAACAATGTCTATATGTAGTGTGTACTGATACAAGTATATACACTTTTGCGTATATTACACTGTGTGAAATAAGGCTATCACAAGAGATTTATGGCTACAAATAGGGAGCTGTGGTAGCCTGGTGGTAAGAAGTTGCATTACCAGCCCCAAGGCAGGAGATTGGAATCCACCAGCAGCTCCAAGGGAGAAAGATGAGCAGTCTCCTCCAGTGCAGCTTTGAGCCTCTGGAATCCCACTGGAGAGTCAGCTATGAGTCAGTTCCAGTTCATCGGCCCATAATAACGATGCTTATGCAGACATATATACACATTCTTTATGTTTGATTAGTACGCCTTTGTGTGTAGACATTATATATATTTATCTATACATCTGTTAAAGGTTACTTTGATTGTTTTCATTGTTTTGTTATTGAGGATAAGGCTTCAGGTAACACAATTGTACTGTATATTGACATGACAGTATAGACCAGTGGTGTTTAGTGGTTACCAGGGGTGGGAGTCAGTAGAAGAGAGGCAGTAAGCTTATGTCTGTGGTGTTGAGAAAATTGGCGTTGATTAAGGGTAGTAGTTCTACAACTTGACTGATAGAGTGCGTACCATTAAGTTGTGTACCAGAAAAAGGGCAAAATGGCAAATATTGTGATATATATAGATCTATAGCAACCAAATAAAGAGGCGGTAGTTGTTGTTAAGTGCCATCAAGTCAAGTATGACTCATAGCGACCCTATGAACAATAGATGTGAACGCTGTTCTATCCTGTGCCATCTTCACACTTCCTGACACACAAGAGCCCATTGCAGCAGTTACCGTGTCAGTCCACCTGGTTGAGGGTCTTCGTTTCTTTTGCTGACCCTCTACTCTTCCCAGCATCATGTCCCTCTCCAAGGAATAGCCCCGCCTAGCAACATGTCCAAAGTATATGAGGTGAAGCCTCATCATCCTTGCCTCCAAAGAGCACTCTGGCTGCACCCTCTTAAAGACATATCTGTTCATTCTCTTACCCATCCAAGGGATGTTCAGTGCTCTTCTCCAATGTTATAGCTCAAAGACTTCAATTCTTCTGTCATCCTTATTCATTGTCCAGCTCTCAAATGTATTGATAATATTTAGTTATAATCAGATACCTTTGTCGGGTTAGTTTTTTAGCTCAGAGGATTAGTCATGGCTTTATGGAATTGTTTAGTGATTTGGCCATTGTTTTTAAGGTTTCTGCTCCAAGGCCCAATTCATTGAGTACTGTCTGGGGGGGGTCTTAAAAACTTGGCCAGGGACCAACCAGTTGTCTCCACTGGCCTGCAGTAGCAGAGGTAGAAGACACCCAGACATAAGGAATTGCACTGCAGGTCTGCTTTGTCACGAGACCAGATGAGCTGGATGGTGCCTGGCTAGAAGCCCTGAAGGTTTAGATCAAGGAATCAATAGTTGAACTCTCTACAAAGAGAGAACTGAAAAGTATAGCACAATTTTTAATTTCAGAAGACAGACTTCACTGCTTCCACAGGGGAATTCTCCAAACCTGTTAGCCTGAAAAAATCTTTACACTTTGTACTGACACCCTCAAGTTCTCTTTAGACAACAGTTTGGCTAAGTCAGTTTAAAAGTTTGCCATAAGCTTTGTGCTCCTTTAAAGAACTGTTTATGTGATGCCAAACTGACAGCAATAACTTTGTAGCCTAAGTGAGAAGTTTAAAGCCAAATGCTGTTGAGTTCATTCTGACTCACAGTGACCCGAGATAGGAGAGAGTAGACTACGCCTCGAGGGTTTCCGAGACTGTAATTTTTACAGAAGCAGATGGCCACCGTGTTCTCCCTCAGAGGCTACAATTGCTGGTGGTGGTGTCATTCCACATATCCACAAATCTCTGATTGGGAAGAAAGGACAACAGAAGACTGTCTAAAGGATGCCTGGATTCCTTACTATCTCAGGACTCTCAAATACTCTTAACAGCTGTCCAATGTTGGTGATTCCAGTGGACTGTATCTCTGTGAAAAACACAATTTTGCCTTTTTGTAATTCTATTTGAGCAAGTTGGGAGTTTAATTGGCTTTCCAACCAACCAAATTTCTGCATTCAAGTCTTAACCATATTTAAGTGTTACTGTGGCTTCAAAGAAGCTATTGATTCTGAAGTAGCAGGTTTTGATTGAGTTAACTGTTTTTAAAAAACTGTTTGGATTTTAATTGTGATGCAGAAGTTATAGTAACAAACATTTGGTTTTGTACAGACGTTATTTCCACTCTGGTGGATAAGCTCAATAAAGGTCATATCCCCCCCCCCCAAAAAAAAAAGACTAAAACTAAAATGTATGTGTAGAAACTATTGAGTTTATGTATATGTAGTATATGTAGTCTGTTTTATTTTTATCAGGGAGGGGGAAAATGTAGAAATAAGGGCTTGGGATGGGGCAAGAAGTTTTAGTTGTTATAGTAAGGAGCATTTAGATGATTTCTGAACTGCTAACCAAAAAGGTTGGAGGTTTAAGTTCATCCAGAGGTGAATTGGAAGAAATTCCTGCAATGACTTGAAAACAGCCATTGAGACACCTGGTGAGCGCATTCTACTGCAGCACGTGTGAGATTGCTGAAGTCAGAATCAACCTGCCGGCAGCTGATTGCTTACTGATTAATAAGTCTGGCTAACGATGTAAAATCCAAATTGTGTTTATTACATGCTGGGCTCAAAAATATATGTTGGGTGAATGAGTGAAGGGTGAATTGGTTAGGGAATGACTTCGGAGTGAGAGGCACTTCACGCTGCCCACTGAAGCACTCAGCAGACGCTTTTGTGTTTGGGGCTTGTGCAGGGCGGAGAACACTCAAGAAGAGCTGCGAGAATTCCAGGAAGGGAGCCGAGAATATGAAGCTGAGCTGGAGACACAGCTGCAACAAATTGAAACCAGGAACCGGGACCTTCTGTCGGAGAATAACCGCCTGCGCATGGAGCTAGAAGCCATCAAGGTGAGTGAGGGGCCAAAGGCAGTGCGCGCACGTGGAGGCAGGCTTCTGGCCTCAGCCATGTGCAGGGTGTGGTTGGACAGAGGGGCTCTGCCCAGGGAGGGGCTGTGCCTCTGGACTCACTCCCACCTTCAGGCTGGTGGATGGAGATGGTAATCCAGCTCATTAGGTCTCTGATGGGAGGAGGTTAAAAAGCAAGTCTTCCATGTATGTATCCCCAAGGTCTTTTGGTCTCTGTAACAAGTCTTCAAGTCAAGCGGAAGGCGGGAATTTTCAGAGTACAGAAAGTCATTAGTACTGTTGATTTAAGCTTTAAGATCCAAAGCTAATCTATCCTGTATAAATTCCCCTAGCCGTGTGTGGCTTTTTAAACTTAAGCTAATTAAAAGGAAATAAATGGCATTAGGCTCCTAGTTACTTAGTATCCTCATGTGGCTCTTGGATACCATTATTGGATGGAGGAGCTGTAGAAGGTTCCCACTATGGGCGAATGTTGTGCTGGACATGGCTAGTCTAGAGCAGATTTCTCAACCTTGGCATTGCTCACATTCAGAGCTGACATGTTCTTTGCTATAGAATGTTGGATTCTTTGAATGCATTCTTTGGCTGTCGAATGCATTATGAGATTCTGAGCAGCTTCTCTGACTTTTACCTACAAGATGCCAGTAACACCTCCTGTCCCATTGTGGGACCCACAAATGCATGCGCACATTGCCAGGTGTCTGGAGAGCCATTGCCGCAAAGGGAAAAGACTGCTTTTTGCATAGTCTTTGTGGATGAGCAGCTATTCTCTTCTTTTTTTTAATATTATCATTTTCTGTGCATGTACTGTCAAATCAGATCTGACTGGTACAGGAGGAGATTGCCCCTCCTTCTCCAGCAGAGCATCTGGTGGACTTGAACTTCACACCTCTGGGCCTGCAGTGCAGGCAGCTGTTCTCGTAAATGACGCTGCGCCAGAGATCCTAGCTCCTCTCCTTGCTTCCAGCCAGGGGTACCTGGCTGCCTCCATGAACATCAGACACGTCTGCTTCTAAGGGAGTTTGAGTGGCACCATGCCACTCTGTATGCCTTTTTTGTTTTCTTTTCAAATATAGTTGTTGTAGTGCAGCAGATGTAGCTGGAGGAACAAGCCAAGATCCTGCTGTGTGTACCTGAGGTTCCATGTTATAGAAATGCTCTAGGGGGCCATGGGAACACGGACTAAGACCGCCTAAGAGGAAAAGAGGCTGCAGGACGCAGTCCTGAGCCTGAGTTTTTCAGAGCAGGAGAGAGCGGCACAGTTGGAGAGGGGTCTTGGAGGAGTTGGGAGGGACGTGAGCTGGTGTGGGAAGGTTGGGGGTGGGGGGCACTGGCCAGTTGCAGGGGGTCACTGGAGAGTACATCTGGACTGATGCAGCTGCTAAATGAACCTCGTGAAGTCTGGCTTCCCCCAGGCCTGGGACCAGCAGCGGGATTAAGGATTGGGAAGTGGGCCAAGAAAAACCTGGAAAGCTGAACAGTGGCATTCAGACATGATGTTGGGGACCAGCACTCACAGACTGGTCATCCGCAGGTCATTCTGGCCCATGGACCTGATTTGCGTAGTATTTTGTGGATTGTCTTTTCTACATTCTATTAGGAGAATCTTCACACAGAGTAAAAATTGAAAGGGTTCAACAGTTGCTGCTGGAACATCCAACCCCTCAACTTCACCACAAGCATTTACCTAACCTGCTTGTTATTTATTTTAATATTTTAGCGAAAGTTTACAGAAAACTTGGATTTCCTTTCATTCATTGTTGCACATTTTCCTCCTTACACCCCCTCCTCCCCCAGTTTGCTTTTCTCTTTAAAAAGATTCTTTCATTGTTGCTGACTTGCTTTTTATTGTATATGTGTTTATCCATCACACCGTCTTTTTCTCTTGGTGCATTTCAAAATGAATTGCCAACATGTGTATATTCTTGTTGTTTCTAATTACCCTGGAGACTTCAGCATAGTTTCCCCCTAAATACTTCAACTTGTTTCTTATTAACTAAAGCATACTAGTTTTTTGTTTTGATAGTAAAATTTATATCTTTAGGTTTTTTGGAAAAAAAAATATTTAATAACAACATTTAAAAGCTGTGACGTTTCCCATAAAAACCGGCATTTCTGATTTTTCTTGAAAAATGAAAGAACTGGCCATGCTATGCACAGCAACAGAGTAGTGAGAAGTGGTTGCTTAAGACAAGTGTCCTCTAGTTGTGACATCCCTCACTGTCCCCTCTCTCCTCCACCTCGCTGATGCTGGCTGCGGCCAACCACTCGCTGTCCTTATCTGACTTCACTAATTTTGCTGACAGCCTGACCTCTGCAGGCACTACTGTTTGACCCTGCCTTAGGTCATGAGGAATTGGAGGGACACAGTGATGGAAAGCTGAGTGGGAGGAGGGTTAGTGGTGTGAACTAGAGAGGGTAAGAGCACTTAATGAATGCTGAGAAAACATCAAGCAGTAACTAAGTCATTAACTCAAACCTGCACCTAGAGCCAGGCAGAAGACCTTTGCGTTGCAAGCACTTCATAGATGCATGCAACCCAGAGCAGAGTGGGGAGGAAGAGATAATGTTAGAATAAAGAAGACACTACCACCAGCACATATTGGTCAATCACCTGAGAAATGTATTCAGCTGAGATAGACCTCGTGACAACTGGCTTATTCATTACCAGCTGAATAAGAAAGCTTGTAAGGGACAAAACAGAGCATCTATTGATGCTTCCGTCAGCTGACAGCTCATTATAATTAGCCCCAAATGAAAGCACGACATTTCAGCATCAGCTTTTCATGTCCACAGATTGAAAAGGGTACTGTTGAGTCCATGTACAGGCCAGAAGCCTCTTAACTGCAGCTTCTGGAAGCTGCATTTGAATTTAGAATAATGATTGAGGAGTCTGTACCCTGCTTTCATTAGAGGTTGTCCCCATCTCAAGGGTGTGGGTTGATCACAGTTACACCTGATCATAGCCATGTAGCCAGCCTGGCTTCTCTGCCTCTGCCTGAGTGGGGACATTTCTGCTCACAGCTGGGAAACTGAGCACCCGCAGGGACCCAGCAGCCCAGGGGTGTGGATGCCTGCACCCCCCGCCCCCAGCTCAGCCTATCAATAATCCACTGTCTCGGACATTCTCCCACAATGGCTCTTGCCACGCCTCGGGAGCCCAGCCACCATGACATCACCCTGGCACATCCAGACTGTTTGCTAGCAACAGCTCTGTTTACATGCCTCAGCCAAGAAGAGGAGGGTTTTCTTTTTTAACTTTTAACTTGGCTGGGATTTTTTTTCTTTTAAACTTTCAAATTAAACCCTCAGCCTTTTCTGTAGGAAGTGTTTTCCTTTGTAGAATCCAGGAAGGATGTTTAATGGAGAAGAGTACTTTGAAGGGAGAGCAGGTGTGAGTGGGTGTGTATGTGTGTGTGTGTGTTTCTAAATATTTCTGTGGCCTGAAGAAGAAGTGGTTTTAGGGAAGTTTAGTATAAGTAGAAACAGTGTCACTGCTGTTTCACATACCAGCAGTTGCCCATGGTGGATAGGTGTCCGCAGACCTTCTGACTGTACCTGAAGAAATTGTCCAGTAAAAGTCTTAATGAATGGCAGCTGAACATGGTTTGCTATAATGCCTGCAAATGAGCCCCTGGGGTTGGAAGACATTGAGAATGCCGCTGGCCAAGCTCTGGTGCTGCCTCAGTGAGAGCCTAACTTCATGATGTGGATCGAGGACTGCTCTCCAGGCCTTCGTTTGCTGAGCGTAACTCAAAATGAAAAGAAAACAGCCACACGCAGCTTAATAATTGGACTATGGACTGGACATGTGTGTCTAGAAAAATTGGAAGTCATAAAACACGAAATGGAAGGGGACCAGATGGTGTCCTGGTGACACGCTTGGCCCAATCCTTCTATAAAGTGAAACATCTAGATGGTAACGCTGGAACGCTGGGCACCAGAAGAGAACACAGAATTGAACAAACACTGACCAGGGAGGGAGGAGGGGCCGAAGAACGCCTGGAGAGGTGGAGCAGAGTGGGGTGGGTGGGAAAGAAGGCGTTCACATGGGCAAGGCGGCACTCCCATGGAATCCTCACTGAGACAGACGTGGTGTGGACAGAACGGGGAAGGAAGCTGAGCCAGATATGAGCAGAGTGAATGAGAAGTCTAGTAGCTCAGAAACAGCTGCAGAGGAGGAGGGAGAAGGGAAAGGGGCTGGTACAGAACGCTTAACCTAAGTCTGCAGGGGCCTGATGAGTGGTGAGTGGAGGCATAGAACTCCCACCATAATGGAATCTGAGCAGGAATTGGGACACTAATAGCATTAGTGGGAATTGGCCACATGACAGTGACCTCTGGCCAGGGAAGAACTGCCCTCACTTCCATTTTACACACTGCTTTCTGGTTGACTGGTGGCAGCCCTTTGTCACACAGTCCCCACTAACGTGGTGGCTAAGGACGGCCTCCTTCCCACACCACACCTGACTTGGTTGGGCTTCTCATCCTGCAGACATACCCATCCTCAGGACGGGCTATGTGAAAGTCTCAGGACTCTGTGGTGAAAGGCACAGAACCACACTTTGATGGTTTGGGATGTTTTTCTTTTATTTCCATCTTTGTCTTTCTTCCTGTTGGTTGGTTTGTGTGTGTGTGTTTCTCTCTTCTACTTCTTTTTTCTACTTTTGTCTCCTTTAGACTTATTTCGTTTCTCCCTCTCCCTCTTTATTTTTACCCATTTTCCTCCCTCTCCTTATTTTTCTTGTTTTGCCCCACCCAACAGGAAGCTGACATACTTTCCCACTGTTATCCATGCCTACAACACCTACCAGCAAGTGCTCCACCCAGCAGTTCTTTCCCTCCAAGCCCAACAATAGAAGGTGTTAAATCCTGCTCAGCCTGCCTTCAGCCTCCTTTTGACAGAACAGCAAGTAGAGACCTATGCTCATGCAACCATTAGTTACTGCACTTGTAGGTGACCAACATATAGTTGGAAATAT